TTCTTGACTTGAACAGCTCGAGAGTTTTGATGCGCTTCCAATTTATTTGTTCGGTGAAAGATTTTGGTGGTTATTTCATCACTGGTTACAGAACAAACGTGAGACTGAATTATGGATGTGACTAGGAGGGGGAGAGAGGGGGTCCAATGATAGATGTGACATAAAATTGGATCAACTTGCCAGGTCCACAGATGTTGAAGGTCAGTGGTTTGTACGTTCACCTACAGTCAAAACATCTGCAAAACGCCATCGAATGGCTACACTTCCAGGAATTTAACAAGCGAAGTGAAAGACTAAGTCTTCATTTACTTGTTCACACGCTCTCAATGTGTACAATTAATTCAATTGAGGCAATCAAGCATTAGAGCTAGAAGCTTCTGTCTTTTACAAGACCGCGAATGCTACTGGTTACCAGACAGATTTCTGAGTCACCATTTCGTACAAAGTCAATCAAAAATTTAACACGATGAACACCTGTTATAGTACTTGAACTTGAACCCTTTCTCAAGTATAAAACAAATATTTACCGCTGTGTATCACTTTCCGTGCAGTTTTGGGTAATCCTTGGTTATGTAATTCCATTTATCAAACCAATATACGTGGAATCTGGTCTCTGCCTTCGCCTGTAACTGTCTTTGATATTCAACGAGTTCACCGATGAAGGCCGATTTAAGCTTGAAATTTTTGCTCTCTCTTTCAACTCTGCTAAAGAAGATTGCCCTTCGAGATCATCGAGGCTTTGACTTCTACGATCACGTTTGATATTGCACTGTCTGCCTGTATATTTCGTTGAAGAGATTTGCATGTCTTTAGTGCTAATATTTATTTGATTTATGCCGGGTTTAATAGCAAACACAGATGTTTTAACGAGGCTTATTCGCTTCAGCCATTCTTGAGAAATATTTCCCTCTGTCCAGGTCACCCTTTGAACTTCAAGTGGAACTGCTGGTTTAACTGCCGTTTCCTGGCTACCATTTGAATCACTTTCTTCTGCGATCCTTGGAAGCCCCGGATTAAAACACTTTGCCATTCTTGGCAGCTTTCATTCCCCAGTGTTCGTTTAGACTCCAAGCGAAGTTCACAAGTTATTCATCCAGCATCAGCGATCAAACGTCTTTATCCAGCAGGTCTCTATTTGAACCAAAAAAAGTCCTTTATTCGTTTGAAAATAAAAGATTTTGGCGACTAAAGTCCAATTTTCCTTTCAGACAAGTAGTCAATAATTAATGAACCTTACCATTGCTACATTTAACTTCATTTCGTACAAAAATTCGGTTTAAATAAACCTCGAAACGGAAAAAATACAATGGAGAATCTTATCCTTAATCATGTAGAATACCTATATAAAGATCATACAAAATATCCAAAGGTTTACCGTAAAACCCATGCAAACAAATCGGATGTAAAATTAACTTAAATTATTATCAACGATTAACCATTATGCAATTGATTACCACTTGTTTCATGGCTACCAGGTTAGAGACAGGTATGAATTGTAAACACTGATTTATTTTGCTTTGTATTGTTAGATGGGACATCGGTACACTATTAATATTTATTTTCACACCGGTAAAGTGCTCCATCAGCCACTAATTCATTATTAAATAATGTGAATATCTTACAGTCACGGTGTCAAGATCTGTCTGATCAGTTTGAATCGAGTAGCTAAGTGTTTATATGTAAGAATCGGATGGCCTAAAATAAGAGACAAATAAGGCAGTAAACAAACCTCTATGTTAAGGAAGAGAAAGGTAATATAAAGACGAAAATCTTCAGCCCTGAAGCGTTCACTGGCTTTCTATTGCCGTAGTTGTGTAGCTGTCATTCAGCTTCGCAGAGGTTTTATGCCTGGATCAACAACTTATTAAGAGAGAGTTTTTATGGTTGCCAAAAGCAAGTTATATAATCTTGCTATCACAATGAATTTAAGTAGCCTCGTCAGTATTGCCAGCGTTTCAATTGACTAACGTAATAGAAAGTCCTAAACAATACAATCCAATAACACTGTAATGACATCATCCTTTCAGAAGCTGGCTCTTTTTATTCCACGTTCTACCTCCCGCTGAGATTTAGAACTGGCAGGTGGGCAAAGCTAGTTTAATCCAACATAAGTGGCTGAATAGAATATCAAATGGAGTACATTGTTAAGAGTTTTAGCGATAGAGCAACTTACCACCAAAATTACTGCTTTTCCATTCCACTCATTTCTCAAAAGTACAACCGAAGTTCTGCTGAAAGGTTTAGTGGAATCTTTCCATCGGTGTTGCTACACAACAAATGCAACATAATTAACACCGATATCAATAGCAAACCATCTTTAACGGGCGCGAGGAACAAAAAGGAGTTAGTGTATTATCGTACGGCAAACGCTGCACATATTGTCTGCATTCAATAGATAGGTAGACAGAGAGGAGGCAACGAAGAAAACCTGCAGGTACTTGGGATTATATGATGAATTTAAACTGCTATTTTCTATAAAAACTTTGGATTCCCAATTCATCCTTAAGAGTTTGTTTAGCACTTACGTTGAGGAGTGTATTACATTTTCTTCAGTAAAGCTGCATTTCTTACTTGATATTCATAAACTTGTTCTCTCAATAAGACACGAGAGTAACTTGGAATGAATTAAAACGATTCTCTCATACAATACCATGAGCTTGACCGATCAACAAAACAAGAAATAGAAGACCAACAGTTTGAACTTGACAACGAACGAGTCGATATCTCATTTTTTATACAAGAGATTTGGATGACTGAATTTAAACATGGTATAATTCAATACCTCAGTTCTGTCCTCCAATTGATTTTCATAAAGTGGTTGTCGCAAGTCGTTGTTTGCATTCGAATGGTAAATGTTGTGTACGATTCATTGTCATGACAAGCAAGCAATCGTATGCGACAGCCGGCGAAAACAGACTTTCACAGAGTCATTTTCAGTGTTTGGAACCTTATAACTTATTGCTGAGGTAGAAAAACACCCAGGATAAAATAAAAACTCTACCAAGAAGAAACAATAACCGCATTAGATACACAAAGTATAGTGTGCAAAGAGTGGGAGGGGAGAAGGTGAGGGATGGGGGTGGGGGCGAGGGA